GCCAGGTCTCTCTTCCCTGTTTCTCTCACCTCTCCAGCTGGGTAGGAGGGTGTCTTTTATATTTATTTGCTGGGCAGGTTCTGTTGCACTGCTGTCTGTCCCAGGTCGAGCCTTTTGGCCCTGCTTGAATCCCCTCTAACTAATAAAAAAGAAATGCAAGGATGTGACATCTTTAGATCTGTCCAAGAAGAACTTGGGATTGTGAGCCACATTAGCTGCTAACACATAGTTGTTTGTCCTTCTCTGATGATTGGTTAATGCAAAATTCTGAGTTAACCCCAAAATTAGAATTTTTCTTTGGACCAAAACTGGGAATTGCTTATTTCATGCAGATTTCCATGTGATAAAAGTTTCTCTTTCCCCAGTTCAGCTAGTTGATATGGCCACGAGAAAGGAAACTTTTAAATGAATAAGTTGAGGGCAAGAAGCAAAGGATTCTACTGGAGTACAGGCACTGGCTTTTGATTACTAAACGAGGACTCCAAGGTGAGGTTCTTTTGTGACTGTTGGGGTTAAAACAATAGATCTCCCTGAACAACCTCTGGAGAAGAGGAGAATCTCTTTGCGGAGTCCCCTATTTCAATCAAGGCTGGTGCCTTGCACAGTAGTGGGCTTCTCTAAACCCGATGAGATTTTTCTGAACAACAGTCAGAAAGAGCAGGGACCAGCTCTTGGGTGAGGTCTCAAACCCTGAGTCCATAGTTAATCAGCACTGCTGGAGCAGTTTGTGTAGTGGGGGGCTGAGAGCCATTGAACCCTGTATACAATGGAAACCACTTCAAGCCAGGGGGTGCGGCAGCAATCCCCACACCCCTAGTTCCAGCACCAATCTAATCCAATGACTCGTGAGCTCCGAATTAAAATTCCTCACGGATGTGTCTCTGAGGGACTAAGACGTGGATAATTCCCCCCTTTTCAGTCTGCTCAGGAGAGAGAAACTCTCACACTCTCCTGCTGACTTTTACGAGGTCTCCCCCCCCCCCCCCCCCGCCCCCAAGGGAAATGTAACCTCCTGATGCTTTTGTGGGCCTTAGAGGGATGAGAGGAGGTCAGACATTGAGATGTGGTGGATATGGTTTCAGGGTCACGTGATGCTCCAAGGCAAACAGAGAGCCCAGTGGCTAGTCTAAAAATCTCATTATTTTTATTTTTAAGGTAATCTTATAATTTTTGGAGCCTAACTCATGACATCTGAATGCTCTGGGGTTAGCAATACTGGCATCGGGACTTGCTGTTCAGTGAGGAACGTGACTGACGGGGACATACTTACTGCAAATTCTCTTCGTCACTTTACCAGAGAAGAGTGCAGGAAAGGCCTGAATCGCTCACTGCCAAGGCAGAAACTGGCACCTGGGAGAGCCATAGGTGACCCCTACTGGGTCAGACATGTTCAGCTTCTCACTGACCCAATAATAAAGATTGCTGAAGTTCACTGGTCAGTCTTGCTGATGCAGCAGTGAAGTTTTCTGCCTTTCCACGTAAATAACCTCGATGGAAATGTTAGTCAGACTCAGGCTGGTTCTCTCTGTGTGGTCATTGCCTGCCTGTTTCCTTACTATTTACTTTTAGCTTTTTCCAGAAGCCTGCAAACTTCAAGGTCAACCTGAAGTCAAGTCCAGAGAAACTGTGCAATGCTGCCCTGCTTTTGAATCTTCTGATATCTGGAGACAAAACCTGGCAGAATATATCACAGCAACTCAGGGTTCTTAGATAATATCTAGCGAGGATGGAGCAGCTGGAAATGCAGGGAGCTTGCCGAGATGGCTTTGGGTTCAGTGGCTGTGCCCTTCAAAGGATGCAGAGACTCAGTTGCAGAATCATTGCATTGTTTGGAAATGACACACGACTCGGGTGTAGCTCAGTGGAGGGGCAGGGAGCTCCAGGGAGGTAGAGGGGAGATTCCTTGAGTAGTGCCAGAGGGAAGTGAGGGATGAGTAATCAGGCTTCATAAACAAATGCAGCTGGTCCAAAGGGCTGTTCCTGTGTTTCTTCATTCTCGCTCCCCTGGTGTCACGCAGCAGCCTCTGCATCCCCATGCTGGCAGGAGCAGGGGTGCATCTCTGGCTTCCTTGGGAGGTGAGTCAGAGGCTGTCGAGCAAACAAGACGGCTAAGGGGTCGGGGGAGCTTAAGCTTTTAAGAAAGGAAGAAGCTAGTTTACGAGGCGTGTTGTCTGGGAGATGCAGCATCACATGGACACACTTGGCGTGGAAATGTTTCCAGCAAAGGCATTTGAAGGGCCCAGGCTCCTATTATCTGTGAGTAGAGGTGCTCATGAGGGAAGCCCCCACTGTGACGTGTGGCACTCCCAGGAGTCTGCAAACACCCACCGCATCCCTAAGCACAGTTGCATTGCCCAGGCCATTGGAGTATAATTGGCTGGCTATAGCTGGAAGGAGGGGGTTGATACTGAGTAATTTCCTCCACGCTGCCCTGGCGTTTGACTGCCCACGTTTCATGGGAGTCGCTGAAAGCTGTGACCATCAGATGCTGTTTGGTGACCTGTGTGAAACAAGTTTGGTGATTTGAGTCGGGTTCCCAGTGGGAAGGTGTGTGCTTCACAAACCCATCAGAGCTGTTAATACGTACGGGTCCTTTTGTTGGCAGGCTGAGGAGAGAGGCCAAGCATCGAATGGGTTTTGGAGCATGAACTCCCCTTCCACCTCTACAGGGCAGGGGAGAGGAATGCTGAGCTGTGTGGTGATGCTGCCCATGCTGTGGGCACAGGCGTTCAGTCTAAGGGTTAAATGGAAAGTGCTAGGGAACCTTCCCATACGTGGATCTACTGCTCCTGCTCTTCTCATTTTCTTTTTTTGAAATAGCCCAATATTAAAGCAAGGGGCGGAGGCAGCTAAAGCCCTTCACAAAATGAATACGCAAGAGTAACCAGGAACAGATCCTCCACATGTGCTCTCTGAAATCTACTGCCCGTGCACTGCTCCAGTCTGTGATTCCCCATTCCTTGCTGGGTTGAATTCAAGTAGATCAAGCTTCCTTCTTGGGCCTTGTCTACATTTGAGAAACTTACCATGCTAAATATCTAGTGTCACATCCACACACAAGTGCTCTGAGTGGTGTATGTACATATCCGCTCCAGTTTGGACTAGACTTGCTTTCAGCAGGTCTAAATATTGGTTTAGTAGAAACTACTCCAGTCTGCACCATTTTAGTACCAGTGTGGATGGCCTTAGAATAGTTCAGATAGCCCTGCCACCACTTTCCCACAGTCTAGATTGGCCTCCAAAATCTCCCAGAATCCACTGTTTCCTTTGTGTCCATAACACTATCGGGGCGTGCGTGTCCTCTGCGCCGGTGCTGGCAGTACCTGTAGGCGCAGTCCTGCCCACAGCTGAGCTCCTCGTGCTGTAAAGTGAGAGGATAAATAGCAGAGTTGCCCCGCCCCTCCTGTTCCTTACCGTCTGTGGTCAGTGATTGGAGCATTTGTGTTCCCTTCTTGTCTGTCCTTTTCATCACTCGATGCTTTTAAAATCTTTATTTTAGTTTAGTTCTTTTTAGTTTTTTCCCATCAGCAGGGCCTCCAGGCCCTGCTCAGTACCGGGGAGCCTATGCCAAGGTCTCTGCGTTTTAAACCTTGCTCAGGCTGCAGAAAACCTATGCCTGTCAGTGACTCTCATTCTCACTGTCTCAGGGCTTAGGCGAGGGTCACATTGGAGACAGGTGCCTCGTTTGTCCTGTTTCAAATGCAGGGAGGGGAGGAAGGAGTGTCTCACTTACATCCTCATGGAAGCTGCCCTTGCACTGGCATCAGAAGCCCCTTGGTCATCCCAGGTTCGTTCTTTGACTGCCTCCCCGTGTGCCCCCCAGCTTTGCCTGCAGACAAGGAGAGCCCTGTCTGCGACAATCTCATTCCAGGCCCATGGCTTCAGAGCAGCCCCAGCCTCAGACGCACAAGAAGAAATGAGTATTGGGCTCTTCTAAGTCCAGACCCCAGGACTCCTCTACAGCTGGTCATTCTGGTACTAATGGTAGAGTGCACCCTCCGGCTTGTATAGAGGAACTTGAGCCATCGACTCCTGTTCCCTGCCAGGGACCATCGAGACTGGTTACCTCTCCAGCGGCAACAGAGCAGTTCTCCCTGCTCACAGTCATGTGTGTCTGTACTGACTACTCCCAAAGCTTATGCGGTGGCCAGCATCTTGTTTTGTCACCACTGATTCAGGGGGAAGTCCCTCATCTGGCACTGGCACAGCTGCTGAGACTGTCAGCACCCGTATGTTCTAATTCGGGGCCACCAGCATTGGGCTAGATACTGCCTCCTTCCACTTCTGGTCAGGGACCATATTCTCCGCACTGCATGTTATTGGTGGCTAGAAAGTCATGCACACTTCCCCTGACATCAATCTATATCTTGGTCACCGAGAACCCCACCCAGTGTCACACCACCCCGGCTCTCCGAATACTCCAATTCTTCATCAGACTCTGAGGCAGGCTATGGGGGGTGTCGTCACTGCGAGTTAAGAGCTTCCTCCCAATCTTGTTCTTGCTCCCACCTATGTGGGTTTGAGAAGACTTCTGCGAGGGGTCAGGACGCCTGGGCCAGACATGCCAGGGGACTGGTACCTTACCAGACCCCTCCATTGCCCTATTGGATACCCAGGGGGATTCTTCCAGGATTCATGTCTACATCACTATACCTCAGACACGTAGTTCCCCCAAGAGAGAGACTTCTCCAGACAGTGCCGAGAGACCTGTGATGGTGGGAACTAATCACCTCTGAATGTGGCACACGAGATCCCCTTGAGTTCAAGTATCTCACACCCTGAGGGTCTAGACTTAGAGCAGCTACTAGGAGGATATAGGAACAAGTAAATTTCAGTGGGTTACCGCTACTCCTAACAGACACTTACCGTCAGCTCCTCGGAGTGTAAGTTGCACTCGTAGACTCCCTGACTTACTCCACCTTGCACATAATCTTCATTAAAGGTGAAAACTTGTTTGAAATGGTCTGACCTTTCTAATGCCTCCTTTCCTTTCTCCCCAGATAATCTGATCAAAGCCATCCTGTCAGCAACCAAAGAGTATCGCCTCACTCCAGCCCTTGACAGGTAAGGTGAGACCCTTCTGAAGCAGAAGGAGCAAATAGTGACACTTCATCACATTTCCTAAACACGTCTCCCAGGAATTGCCTGTGCTTTGGATATAGGTCAGGAGCTGAGAATAGAGTTCTGTTCCAGTGAACCCCGGGAGCTTTGTTAGCTCAAACATACAAAGAGTACGTTTACATTTTGACTGCTTCCTAATCGTTTGCTTCTAAAAGCACAGAAGGAGCGTGTACCATTGCATAGCTATACCCTCCCCTCACCCCCCAGCAATGTACTGGCAACACAACCAAATCACGCAAAGGTTTATTCCAGAAAAGGGGTGCAGCTTGTTCCAACAAGAACAGTTCACTAATATCTCACTCTTAAAGCTGGTAGGGGTGACTGCAGTGGTTGAGTTGGTGATAAGATGGATGTAGGAACTTTCATGGGGACTTGAAGGTTTGAGCTGGTATAATGCATATTTGTGTATTCAGAACAAGCTCCTTCAGACTTTCTGGTCCTATCCTAGAGCTTGTTCTGGAAAATCCTTGGCATGTTTATGATCAGCTGTCTGATCCTTTACCCTCTTGCATCCTGAGCCTTCCCTCCTTGTTTGACCTTCAGCCTTGAATCATAGAATCTCAGGGTTGGAAGGGACCTCAGGAGGTCATCTAGTCCAACCCCTGCTCAAAGCAGGACCAATCCCCAACTAAATCATCCCAGCCAGGGCTTTGTCAAGCCAGGCCTTAAAAATCTGTAAGGAAGGAGATTCCACCACCTCCCTAGGTAACCCATTCCAGTGCTTCACCACCCTCCTAGTGAAATAGTTTTTCCTAATATCCAACCTAGACCTCCCCCACTGTAACTTGAGACCATTACTCCTTGTTCTGTCATCTGCCACCACTGAGAACAGCCGAGCTCCATCCTCTTTGGAACCCCCTTCAGGTTGTTGAAAGCAGCTATCAAATCCCCCCTCACTCTTCTGCAGACTAAATAAGCCCAGTTCCCTCAGCCTCTCCTCATAAGTCATGTGCCCCAGTCCCCTAATCATTTTTGTTGTCCTCTGCTGGACTCTTTCCAATTTGTCCTCACATCCCTTCTGTAGTGGGGGGACCAAAACTGGATGCAGTACTCCAGATGTGACCTCACCTGTGCCGAATAGAGGGGAATAATCACTTCCCTTGATCTGCTGGCAATGCTCCTACTTATTCAGCCCAAAATGCCGTTAGCCTTCTTGGCAACAAGGGCACACTGCTGACTCATATCCAGCTTCTCGTCCACTGTAATCCCCAGGTCCTTTTCTGCAGAACTGCCGCTTAGCCAGTCAGTCCCCAGCCTGTAGCAGTGCCTGGGATTCTTCCGTCCTAAGTGCAGGACTCTGCACTTGTCCTTGTTGAACCTCATCAGATTTCTTTTACCCCGATCCTCCAATTTGTCTAGGTCACTCCAGACCCTATCCCTACTCTCCAGCGTATCTACTTCTCCCCCCTATCGTAATGTCATCCGTGAACTTGCTGAGGATGCAATCCATCCCATCATCTAGATCATTAATGAAGATGCTGAACAAAACTGGCCCCAGGACAGACCCTTGGGGCACTCCACTTGATACTGGCTGCCAACTAGACATCAACCCGTTGGGGGGGAGGGATAGCTCAGTGATTTGAGCATTGGCCTGCTAAACCCAGGGTTATGAGTTCAATCCTTGAGGGGGCCATTTAGGGATCTGGGGCAAAAATCTGTCTGGGGATTGGTCCTGCTTTGAGCAGGGGGTTGGACTAGATGACCTCCTGAGGTCCCTTCCAACCCTGATATTCTGTGATCACTACCTGTTGAGCCTGACAATCTAGCTGGCTTTCTATCCATCTTACAGTCCATTCATCCAATCCATACTTTTTTAATTTGCTGGCAAGAGTACTGTGGGAGACCGTATCAAAAGCTTTGCTAAAGTCAAGATATATCACTTCCACCGCTTTCCCCATATCCATAGAACCAGTTATCTCATCACAGAAGGCAATCAGGTTAGTCAGGCATGACTTGCCCTTTGATTAACTCCCTCACTAAGTGTCAATTTCTGGATCTAGGGTAAATTTTTTTCAGAAGCTCTTAGGTGACTTAGGAGCTTTTGAAAAATGTTAGCCCTGTTCTTTACTGAACATTCTCCCGCTTTGATCTCACACTAACAAAGTTCTTGCTTTCTGACCAATTCATTTTTTGCCCCCTGACCCCTTCTGAGCTTCCAATCAGACTTTCCATGACCACCAAACTCATCAGCATTCCTGATATCTCTGCAGCTGTCAGCTGCCTCCCCACTCCCCTCGGCTCTGTTGCTTCCAGAGCAGTAGCTCTGCTGTAGTTAAGGTGGAGAATTGCTTACTGTTTAAAATATGACTATTCTAGGTGCTCTAAAATGCACATCTGGATCTAAAATCTGCAGACTCAGATTATCCTGAAATTTCCTGTGCCTCATGGGAGTGTGGAGTGGGCAGGGTTAATGGTCCAAAGTTGAAGTTCTTTGAGAAAGAGGCTCTTGAGATACAGCCCCCTTTTAAGAAACCATGTGTTTAGAAAATTACCGGGTTCTGAAGAGGGGTTTTTGGCTCACACCTGGGGCTCAAACAGTTGCTTTAATCCTCCCCAAACTGATCTCACCCACTCGGGAATTAGCTCAGGTAGTGCACGGCTTGCACTGCTCCTTTGAGGAAGCAGTATTTCCAACGGTGTTGAGGGTTAAGTTTGTAATTCCAACTCAGTTTGAGCTGAACTGACACACTAAAGACGGTGAAGTGCACATGTGCCACAAGACTGGTGCTCTTTTGCAGGTCAGAGGGTTTGCAGGCAGACTTATGTCACAGTAATTGGGTGGCTCGAGGGGACATGCTGTGGCCCTTTAACCTGAGCAGCCTCCATGGCCTATGATTTTGAGTCCTAACCTTGGCAGCTTTTTGAGACTGTTGTGCATGTTGTTATGTCTCTGCCTGCGTTCATTAGAAACTTCTTTAGGAAGTTTTTCCCTGAGACCAAAACTTATGGTTTAAGAGCCAATATTTCAGAGTTCTCTAAAATCCACATGCAGACTCTGATTCTACTTTAGATGTGTTGTCAAGGAAATTAGCCTTCATTTAACAGAGAACGGACTCTAGTAAGCAGTTAGGGTAATATAATCACAACTCACGTTCCTCACCTGTTGCTTGAACAATGTGACTGAATGGGATCAAAGGAAAGCAAGTCACTGGGTTACTTCATCAAGGGAAGCTCTAGAGAGCTGGAAAAGCTACTGTTGCACCGTTATTTTAAAAGGGTAAATGAGATGACATGAGTTATAATAGACTGAAGAGCTTGACATCAGTCCTGGGCAAAATCATGGAAAGGTTAACCTGGAATAGAATCAGCAAAAAGCTGGTATCTCAACTAGTGCAAATTAACATGGGTTTTATGGGAAATGAATCTTGTCAAGCAAATTTGGTATTTTTTATGAGATTACAAGTTTGATTGATAAAGGTAAATGTGTTGTGTAGTTAGACTTCTGTCAGGCATTTGACTTAGTCCAAATGACATCCTGCTCTAAAAAAAAGTATCACTATACAAGATAAATGTAGCCCATATTCTATGGATTAAAAGCTAATTAAATGAGAGATTTCAAAAAGTAATTATAAATGGGAAATCATTATCTAGTAGGTGTGGTTTTAGTGTGGCCCTGCAGGGATCTGTTCTCGGCCCAATGTTGTTCAACATTTTCATCAGTGATATGGAAGAAAATAGAAAATCAATGCTGGTGAAACTTGCAGATAACACACAAATTGGTGGAGTGGTAGATAATGAAGTGGACAGGTCAGTTATAAAGGCTGCTCCAGATTGCTTGTAAACGGGACTCATTTGAGCAACATGCATTTTAACAGAGCCAAATGGAAGATGAGATCTCTAGGTGGGTCACACTGATAAGATGAGAGATGGTCTCCTGAAAGTCAGTGACACTGAAAAGGACTTGGGGTTGATGGTAACCAGTTGAACATGAGTTCCCAGTGTGATGGTGTAGCTAAAAGAGCAAATGCAATTCTAGGATGCCTACGCAGGAGGATATTGAGTAGTAGGCAGGTGGCATTACCCCTCACGTGGCACCAGTGAGACTGTTACTGGTTTCAGCACTTCAAAAAAGATGTTGAAAAATAGAATGAGTTCAGAAAAGAGTTATAAGACTGATTCAAGATATGGAAAATCTGCCTGAGAGTGAGACACTTGAGGATCTTAATCTACTTAGTTTATCCAAGAGACGGTTAAGAGGTGACTTGATCATGGTCAGAAAGACATCTTTAAACATTGGCAGTCAGATCCTGCTGAGGCAAATAGAAAGGAGCAGAAATCCTGGCACGGCAAGTGCAAAGGTACAACCAGGCAGCCCAGAAAGAATTTGAAGAGCAACTAGCAAAAGACACACAAACTAACGGCAATTATTTTTTTTAAATACATCACATGTCGGAAGCCTGCCAACCAACCAGTGGGGCTCCTGGACAATCTAGGTGCTAAAGGAGCACTCAAGGAAGACAAAGCCATTGCGAAAAGCTAAATGAATTCTTTGCATCAGTCTTCATTGTAGAAGATGTGAGTGAGATTCCAAAACCTGAGCCATTCTTCTTAGGCAGCGTTTCTCAAACTTCATTGCACGGCAACCCCCTTCTGACAGCAAAGTTACTACATGACCCCAGGAGGAGGGGGACCGGGGCAGAGCCTGAGCCCCGCTGCCCCGGGTGGGGGGAGAGGGGGCCGCAGCCCGAGCCCCGCTGCCCCGGGTGCGGGGAGAGGGGGCCGCAGCCCGAGCCCCGCTGCCCCGGGTGCGGGAAGAGGGGGCCGCAGCCCGAACCCCGCTGCCCCGGGTGCGGGAAGAGGGGGCCGCAGCCCGAGCCCCGCTGCCCCGGGTTGGGGGAGAAGGGGCCACAGCCCGAGCCCCGCTGCCCCAGGTGGGAGTGGAGCTTGGGCTTCCGCTTCTGCCCCTGGTCCCAGCAAGTCTAATACTGGCCCTGGCAACCCCA